CAGTTTCACCATGTTGGCCAGGATGGTCTCGATCTCCTGACCTTGTGATCTGCCTGCCTTGGCCTCCCAAAGTGCTGGGATTACAGGCATGAGCCACCATGCCTGGCCTACCATGAGGTCGTCTTTTTACAGATTACTGCTTACTTCCTGCATATCATGTGCTAATTCCTCGTTCTGGCTGCTAATTTCTGTGTCTCCCCCAGCCCTGCTGTCCAGTCAGGCGCCCCCAGACCCTGTGCAGGTGGAGGAGAAGCTGTTGGCTCCGCCTGTGATCCAGTATGACATGGAAGCCGAGAAGCAGCTGATCCGGGAGGTGAGACCCACGCGGGTGGCAACAAGGAGAAGGGGCAGGCAGGTGGGGCCCAGCAGGAGGGGCAGGGCTGCTCTTGGGGTCCAAGGAGGGCGCAGCTCCAGTGTGATATCACCACACCTTCACCCTGGGGTTGATCTTAAGAAAGCTGAGGCTCAAGGAGATGCCAGGACTTGCCCAAGGTCACATGGCAAAGAGTCTGAGGCAGGATTTGAACTTGGGTTCCTGACTCCAGACTGCAGTCAGTGCCGCCTCAGGGCCTGCGTCGTGATAATAGAAGGGTCCGGGTGCATCTCCGGGGTGTGGTCTCCCCTTTTGAAGGACGGGTGGCTGTGGATGGCCTCTGCAGAGGTGAGGCAGTCGGGTGGGAGGAGTCTGTCCCCCAGCAGCCGCCAACAAACGGGGGTCTGAGCCAGGCAGCCTGTTTGGCCAGCGGGTGTGTGGTGTTGGCCTGCTGGAAAAAGCTGCTACCTGGGGCACCTGGCTTCTCTCATGTGGGTGCCTCCCAACATTCCTCGGAAGCAGCGGGTCAGGTGATGCCCCTGATTTCCAGAGGCAGAGTGGATCCCCAGAGCTGGATTTCCATTGCCAGGCGTGGGGGAGGGCTCCCAACTCCTGCCTTTGGCTCCATCCCTGACTCCCTGCTCTGTTGGTTTCCAGAGATTCCCGCCTAAATGCTGCATCCTGAGACCTGAGCATTCGGTGCAGTTTGACATGTGGCAGTCCCTTTTTTTGTTCATTTATTTATTTATGAGATGGAGTCTTGCTCTGCCGCCCAGGCTGGAGTGCAGTGGCACCATCTCGGCTCACTGCAACCTCTGCCTTCTTGGGTTCAAGTGATTCTGGCCTCAGCACCCTGAGTAGCTGGGACTACAGGTGTGTGCCACCACTCCCAGCTAATTTTTGTTATTTTAGTAGAGACGGAGTTTCACCATGTTGGCCAGAATCGTCTTGATCTCAACGTCGTGATCCACCTGCCTCAACCTCCCAAAGTGCTGGGCTACCGGCATGAGCCACCGCACCCAGCCCTATTTATTTGAGACAGCATCTTGTCGCCCAGGCCGGAGTGCAATGGTGCAATCTCAACTCACTGCAGCCTCAAACTCTCTGGCTCAGGTGCTCCTCCCACCTCAGCTTCCTAAGTAGCTGAGACCACAGGTGCGTGTCATTACGCTTGGCTAATTTTAAAAATTTTTTGTAGCGATGGGGTCTGTCTATGTTGCCCAGGCTGGTCTTGAACTCCTGGGCTCAAGCAATCCTCCCACCTTGGCTTCCCAAAGTGTTGGAATTACAGGTGTGAACCGTCATCGCGCAGGGCCTGACAGTCCCTTTAGAAAGGCCAGGGCTTTTCCTGATGTGCAACCTAATGCCAGGCAGAGCGAGCTCTCCAGGGACTGGGCCCTGGATGTGTCTACAGCTGGACCCCGACCACTCAACTACAGCCTCCCATTGGGGTGCACCCTCAGGCCCCGGAAGCCCCTGTTGGGGACCCTTTGGGGACCTGGGGCCCAGCCTCTGGGGCAAACGGGAGGAACTGGAGGGACTCAGTTCTGCGGGCTGGAGGCCTGGGAGAAATTCACCCTAGAGCCTCGGGGGCTGCACGTGGTGGGTGGGACCTGTGCTGTTTGGGGAGAGGCTCGTTGTTGCCCCCAGTGGATACCACCCGCCCCTGCAGGCTTTGGGAGCTCCGCGGCGGGCACTGCCTACCCTGGCTGAACGCAGGCAAGCCCACAGAAACCAGAGAAGTGACCCTGCCGGAGTTCGGAGTGGGCATGGAGTCACATAGCAGCCCGGGGGCCTTTGGTCACAGATGCAGGGGTGGGGCTGGCTGCGCAGGACAGAGGCTTCCTTCCCCAGAACCTGGTGTGTCCAGCGGTCCCCACTGTCCAGTAAGTAGGGCACTGCCGCCCCCTGGTGGTCACCAGGGAGAAGCGACACTATTCTTGGCAGGCCCCTAGAGGTGCCACTGACGGGAGTGCTTTCTGCCCTGGGGAAGGGGTCGCCTGCCTCCTCCTCCTCATGGGGTTGCCCAGTGGCCACTGCGTCAGAGTGCTACTGCCTGATGCCACTGCCACCAGGATTCCAAGAAACCCTGAGGTGTCTTCTGTGAGCCATGCTTGGAGGAAGGGTTGAAGATGTCTGTGCCCCCCACCCCTCTGCTGTCCCTGCTTCCCTCCTCCCTCCCATGTGCTCTTTTTCACAACTCTCATATTTGTTGAGCACCTACTATGCGCCTGGAACCGTGTTTCCCTTTCATTCAGGAAAAGGGAGGAGGCCCGTCTTTCTAGGAAAGAAGGCACGGGCTTGGGTCCCCAGTCTGAGCCAGAGTTTTGGACTAGAAGATTCCTAGGGTCCGCCCAGCTTTCACTTTCTGTGAGTCCATCCTTATGGGCTCTGTGGCCTTGGGCAGGTTGGTTGAGCTCTCTGAGCCTCTGTCTCATCTGCTAGCGGCTTTCCTGCTGCTTTCTGAGGCTGTAAGAGGATGAAACAAAGGGGCATCTTCTCCTTGGTGGGCTGTGTGTCATGTACCAAGTAGGAGCCGGGGGTCAGCTCCGCCGTTCAGTCCTTAACAGGCATATTGTGCGTGTGTGCTGGGTGCTGGATACGCTAGCTGGAGGGGGTGTGGGGCCAAGAAAGGGTTTTTCATGCTTTAAATGTTGGAAGCAAGAGGGCATGTCTCGTAGACTGTCAGGAGTGATCCAGCACAGAGGGAGAAGTCGAGGTCTAGGAAGGAGGGGCGGACTGCAAGCACAAGGTCCTGGAGCTGGGTGCTCTGATTCCGAGGAGGTGGAGCTTCCGGGTAGACCCGCAGGTGGACGGGAAGGTGAGGGAGTCCTGTGCCTCCCTGTCTCTGATTTACAGGCAGGGAATGTGGGGGGAGTGGAGGGTTGGGAAGATGGAGCTAACAGGTAGGACTGGGGCTGTGGGCTCAGCCATGTAGAAGCCTGCCTGCCTGAGATCCAGGGCCCATGTTTAAAAGTGAGAATGGGGCCGGGCGCGGTGGCTCAGGCCTGTAATCCCAGCACTTTGGGAGGCCGAGGCAGGCGGATCACTTGAGGTCAGGAGTTCAAGACCAGCCTCACATGAGAGGACCCATCTGGCCAACATGGTGAAACCCCATCTCTACTAAAAATACAAAAATTAGCTGGGTGTGGTGTCACGTGCCTGTGATCTCAGCTACTTGGGTGGCTGAGGCAGGGGAATCACTTGAACCCAAGAGGCAGAGGTTACAGTGAGCTGAGACCATGCCACTGCACTCCAACCTGGTTGACAGAGCGAAAGTCTGACTCAGATAAATAAATAAATAATTTGTGTGTGCATGTGTATGTGTGTGCATGTGTGCACGTGCATGTGTGTGCAGTGTACGTGTGTACACACGTGCATGTGTGTGTGCATGCCTGTGTGTGCCTGTGTGTGCTTGTGTGTATGTGTACATAAGTGTGTGTGTGCATATGTGTGTGTTTCCATCCATGTATTGTAGGGTGAGGCCTGGGTTTAACCAGGGTCAGGGCTGGGCTGGGAGAAAACAATACAGGGGCTGGGTGAGGAAGTCAGGGATGCTTGCTGACTGGAGTCACGGGCCCTGATGCCTGCTGGGTGAGGAGGGCGGCGAGAGCAGGGGCAGGGGAGGAGAGGGCTGCAGGGTCTGAGGAGCTGCCTGGTCATGGAGCGTCCTTGGGCCTCCGTAACACTGCAGGCGTTGTTTTGAGGTTCAAGTGTATCTGAACATGTGTGGAAGAATGCATGGTTACAGCTGAATTACTCTCCATCTCCTTGTCTCCCTCCCTGGGAGCCTAAATCAGTGCTGTCTGTGCCACTTTGTATTTGCCAAAGGGATCTGGAGGGGTGCGAGTGTGCCGTGGTGCTCGCCCACCCCATCCCTGTCCTTGTCCCGCCTCCCTGGCTTACTGCAGCAGCAGGCACCTCTGCCAGCAGTGACTCCAGAAGACAGAGGGTCCCAGACTACCTTTAATTCATAGTGCCCTGCCTGCCCGTCTCTCGGGCTGTGTGTGACAGATGCCTGAACGTGTTGCATGCCCGTGAACCTGCGGTTCTGCTCTTGCATTTACTGGTTCCGCAGGTGTTCATCGAATCCCTCCTCTGGTAGGGTCTGAGGCTACAAGACAGGATGGTCCTTTCAGCCTGGCCAAGATGGTGAAACCCCGTCTCTACCAAAAACATAAAAAATTAGCTGGGTATGGTGGTGCACACCTGTAATCCCAGCTACTCAGGAGGCTGAGGCAGGAGAATCGCTTGAACCAGGGAGGCAGAGGTTGCAGTGAGCTGAGATCGTGCCACTGCACTCCAGCCTGAGTGACAGAGCGAGACTCCATCTAAAAAAAAAAAAAAAAAAAGACAAGGTGTGGTTCTTGCTCTCTGGAGGGTGCTTTCTGCTAGGGGAGGGAGGTCAACAATAAACTATAATCAAAGAAATAGAGACTATCATGAAGGAAGCAATGGTTCAGGCAGAAGAAGCAGCTCCTGAGATTACTAGGAAGCTGGAGAGATAGACAGAGCTAAAGAAGGAAAAGAAGCTACTGGTGGCCCTTGCCCTGGTGTCAGAAGACAGCAGCTGTGGAGGGCTGTGAGGAAGGAGGGTGCTGCTGAGAGCTCACACTCCCATTCACACACACCTGTTCATACCATTCACACCAGTTCACACATTATTCACACCCATTCACACCTATTCACACCCACTTGCACCTGTTCACACCCCTTCCCTAGGCAAGCGTGTCCTGCCCTTGACTGTATCCCAGGAGTCCTCATCCTGGGGTAGTGAAATGTTGAAAACTCCCAAAAGAAGCAAAGGCCAAAGCCCCAGGAGGCGCCTCAGGAGAATGGAATGGGAGACCTATCTCTCCAAACCCAAGAAACAGAAACTTTCCCCAAGGAGGAGCAGGCTAGTGCCGATCCTGGGCAGGCAGGTGGCAGCATGTCTTCCCAAGATGGAGGCTGGGCGCCGTGGCTCATGCCCATAATCCCAGAGCTTTGGGAGGCCAAGGTGGGCAGATTGCTTGAGGTCAGGAGTTACAGACCAGCCTGGGCAACATGGCAAGACCCCCATCTTTACCAAAAATACAAAAAAATTAGCCAACTGTGGTGGTGGGTGCCTGTGGTCCCAGCTACTCGGGAGGCTGAGGTCGGAGAATTGCTTGAGCCCGGGGTTGGAGGTTGCAGTTAGCTGAGACTGTGCCACTGCACTACAGCCTGGGCAACAGAAAAAAAAAAAAAAGCTGGATGCAGTGGCTCATGCCTATAATCCCAGCACTTTGGGAGGCCAAGGTGGGCGAATCACCTGAGGTTAGGAGTTCAAGACCAGCCTGGCCAACATGGTGAACCCCATCTCTACTAAAAATATAAAAATTAGCCAGGTGTGGTGACGCATGCCTGTAATTCCAGCTACTTGGGAGGCTGAGGCAGGAGAATCACCTGAAGCCAGGAAGCAGAGGTTGCAGTGAGCTGAGATGGCACCACTGCACTCCAGCCTGGGCAACAAGAGTGAAACTCTGTCTCAATAAAAAAGTAACAGACGGAGACATCTTCATTCAAGGAGGAAACAGTTAGTGACCCCAAGGGGCAGGCAACAGGAGTATCGCCAAGGAAAAGAGGAGTTTGTCTTGCAAGGAGAAACCATCAGCAATGGGTCTGGAGAGGCCTCTGGCAGCAAGATCAACCCCAAGAAGAAAAAGTTTCCCAAACCATCGCAGGAAGATCAGAATGAAGATTTCCTGGGGAGGAGCATACCCCAAGGTGGCATTTTCCAACCCTACACCCCAACAAAAACAATTTCTCTCTCTCTCTCTCTCTCTCTCTCTCTCTCTCTCATAAGCACACACACACACACACACCCCAAATAGCATAATAGAAGCTCAGGAAGTGTGTTAAGAAGAAATAGAAGCCAGGCGAGGTGGCTTATGCCTGTAATCCCATCACTTTTCAAGGCCAGCATGGCAAAACCCTGTCTCTACCAAAAATACGAAAATCAGCCAGGCGTGGTGGTGTGCGTGTGTACTAGGCTGCTTGGGAGGCAGAGGCTGGAGAATCAGGAGAATCATTTGAACCTGGGAGGCAGAGATTGCAGTGAGCCAAAGTTGCAGCACTGCACTCTAGCCCAGGAGATAGAGTGAGATTCCGTCTCAGAAAGGAAAAAAAAGCAGTAGAGGAAGGAACAGAGAGCAGTGCAGGGGGCTTCCGAGAGTGGTCAGGGGAGGGCTCTCTGAGGGGGGTCACTAAGCTGGGAAGGTGCTTGCCAGGGAGCAGGGCAAAGGCCTTGGGGCTGGGAGGACGTGGGTGTGGCTAGGAGGCCCCAAATGTGCATCATGGCAGTCAGGGGGTAGGCAGGGCCAGATCACTTGGGACTCAGGTCAAGTTGAGGAGCTTAGATTTCATCCATGAACATGGGACACCATTGTCAAATCCTAATCAGGGGATGGGCACCATGGCTGTGTTGGCGAGAGGTTGGGGCCAGAGTGAGAATGGAAATGAGGACCAGGTGGCTGTTTGGATGACAGCTGCAGAGATAGCAAAGATGGAGAGGAGTAGGGGAATAAAAACATATTTTGTCATTGGTGGGTTGAGGACAAATGGGCAGAAAGTTATTTGCCCATGTGGAAGGATGTTCATGATATACTGTTGTGTGGATAAAATAGATTGCAAACAAATGTGTATGTTATTGGCCTGTTAAAGATGCACTGAGAAGGCCGGGCATGGTGGCTCATACCTGTAATCCTAGCACTTTGGGAGGCTGAGGCTGGCAGACCACCTGAGGTCAGGAGTTCGAGACCAGCCTGGCCAACATGGTGAAACCCCATTTCTACTAAAAAAAAAAAATTAGGCATGGGGTGGCAGGCACCTGTAATCCCAGCTACTTGGGAGGCTGAAGCAGGGGAATCTCCTGAACCTGGGAGGTGGAAGTTGCAGTGAGCGGAGGTCATGCCATTGCACTCCAACCTGGGCAACAAGAGCGAAACGCTGTCTCAAAAACAAAACAAAACACTGAGAGGCTGTGCACGGTGGCTCATGCCTGGAATCCCTATACTTTGGGAGGCCAAGGTGGAAGGATCACTTGAGGCCAGGAGTTTGAGACCAACCTGGGCAACAGAGTGACCCCCCTACTCTATAAATTTTTCATTTTTTAATTTTTTTTTTATTTTTTTATTTTTGAGACACTCTGTCACCCAGGCTTGAGTGATCTCGGCTCACTGCAACCTCCGCCTCCCAGGTTCAAGCGGTTTCATGCCTCAGACTCCTGGGTAGCTGAGATTGTAGGCACGCCACCATGCTAGGCTAATTTTTGTAATTTTAGTAGAGACAGCGTTTCACCATGTTGGCCAGGCTGGTCTCAAACTCCTGGCCTCAGGTGATCTGCCTCAGCTTCCCAAAGTGCTGGGATTACAGGTGTGAGCCACTGGGCCCAGCCTATAAGTTTTTTTTAAAAAATTAGCTGATGGTGGCATGCCCATAGTCCCAGCTATTTGGGAGGCTGAGGCAGGAGGATTGCTTGAGCCTGGGAGTTTGAGGCTGGAATGAGCCACGATTATGCCATTGCACTCCAGCCTGGGGGACAGAGTGAGACCCTGTCTCAGAAACAAAACAAAACCAAAAAGCATCAAGAACAGTTTAGAAAAGTCTTCACCAGCAAGTAATTATCACAGTGTTGTACAATTGGATTCTTTTGGCTTACTTACATGTTCTGTATCGTTTGAATAACAAAAAATAACAATTCTGAAAGGTGAGTTTCAAAATGATGATAAAACGCTGCCTGCCCTCTGGCCCACCCCTCCCTCTCCCAGGAATATGAAGAGCGCCTGGCCCGCCTGAAAGCCGACTATAAGGCTGAGCAGGAGTCTCGGGCCAGGCTGGAAGAAGACATCACTGCCATGCGCAACTCATATGATGTCAGGCTGTCCACGCTGCAGGAGAACCTGCGGAAGGAGACAGGTGGGTCCTCTTTGTCCCCCGGGGCTGTCTCAAGGGAAGGTGGCCTCTTTCCACCTCACTGTAGTAACTACGTCACAGAACATTCTCCACACCCAAGGCTTGGGTCTGTTTCATCCTCACAGGGGTCCAGCAAGGTAGGTACCACAATTATGCTCATTATATAGATGAGGAAACTGAGGCACAGAGAGGATAACTTGCCCATGGTCACGCAGCTGCTAAGGAGAGTCAGGATCTGAACCCAGGCAGTCTGGCCCCAGAGCTAGTGTTCTCACCCACAACACTGCACTGGGATGGGTTAGCCGCAGGCTGGGCCCCAGCTCAAGGCAGACTGTGAGCGATGACGTGCCACCCTTTCTTTAGAGGCGAACCCCACATTTCTGTGCTTTCCATAGTGTCTCTTACTTTTGAGCCTCTCTGTTACCAAAGCAACCACATCCCATAATAAGGATTTAATCCTTAGCAACAACTTTTTACCTGTCTGGAAGTTTTTGTCTTCTTCTTCTTTTTTTTTTTCTTTTTTAAAGATAGGGTTTCACCATGATGGTCAGGCTGGTCTTGAACTCCTGACCTCAGGTGATCCACCCACCTCAGCCTCCCAAAGTGCTAGGATTACAGGCGTGAGCCACTGCGCCCGGCTGTCTTCTTTTTAAAAAAAAAAAAAAATTTTTTTCTGACATGAAGTCTTGCTGTGTTGCCCAGGGTGGAGTGCAGCGGCACGATCTTGACTCACTGCAACCTCCGCCTCCCAGGTTTAAGCAATTCTCATGCCTCAGCCTCCTGAGTAGCTGGGATTACAGATGTCCACTACCACACCCGGCTAATTTTTGTGTTTTCAGTAGAGACGGGGTTTTGTCACGTTGGCCAGGCTGGTCTTGAACTCCTGGGCTCAAGCGATCCACCTGCCTCGGCCTCCCAAAGTGCTGGGATGACAGGCGTGAGCCACCGCGCCCGGCCTTTAGTTTTTGCCTTCTTTTCGCCATCCTAGGATGTTCTCTCACACCAGTGTCATTCAACACCAGCTGCCCAGAAGCCCAGACTTCCCAGCACTCATGGACAGTGTAGAATCCAGGCCTGTAAGATGACGATACTGATCGCACCGTCAGTACCGCTTGTCATGCGTTACTGCATGCTGGGTACCATGTGGGTGCTTTACCTGCACCCCCTCACTGAGCCTCTCCCCAATCCAGCGAGGTAGGACTCCCTGAATCCGCCCATAACCACGTGGAAAACAAGGCTGAGAGAGATCCAGGCCATTTAGCTGGGGAGTAGATGCCATATTTCAGCAAAAGGGAAATCAAGACCCTCTTAGGGGGGCCTGGGACACAGCAATAAAGAAACGGGTGGGAGGTAAGAGAGGCCCTGAGCGGGAGCAGTAAGGGGCCCATGTGAACGCAGCCCTGCCTCAGCTGGGAGGGAGACCCACTCCTGGAGGAGACCCAGGAGAAGAGGAGGGGGCAGATTCTGGAATTTTCTGTTTTTCGGAGTGTTCCCTCTAGTCCGGATTGAATATGAGGCCTCCAGCTGATCGTCTGGCTTCTGGAGCTCTGACGTTCATCCACGGCATTCATTCATTTAGCTCCCGTGGATCTAGCATATCCAGTGGACAAGAGCCCTGTGCTGGGCGCTCCAGCGGGGGCCCCTAGGGCACCTGGGCATGAAATCTGCTGAGCTCTCAGCCTTGGAAGGCAACGAGGCCCCAGGAAGCCTGCCAGTGTGTAAAGAGTGGTCCCAAGGCAGGGTGTGATGTAAGAGTCCAGCACTTGGTGGTTGTGGAGGTCAAAAATTGGAGAAATCAGTGTTGGTCAGGGAAGGCTTCCTGGAAGAGGTGGAAGGAGGCAGGGTTTGGGTTCTGATGGGGCAGAGATGGGAAGGCAGGCAGGCTGTAGCCAGCCTCTGGGGGCGCCTAGGAGGCTCTGACTCTTAAGCTGGTCTTAGAAACAGTGGGCTTGGGGCCACCTTCTAGGGAAGGGTCTCCTTCTTACCCTTTAAAAGCCTAAAGGAAGTTCTCTATTTTGCAGAGGCTGTCCTGCAGGCGGGAGTCCTCTACAAGGCTGAGGTCATGTCCAAGGCTGAGGTCATGTCCAAGGCTAAGGTCATGCCTAGGGCTGAGTTTGCCAGCAGGTCTGAGTACCCGCCTGCTTTCCAGTATGAGACGGTGGCGAAGCCCGAGGTCTTCTCCACAGCTGACCCTCTGCCCAGTGACGATGTCTCCAAGACTGAGCTTTCCACCAGGTTTGCGGAGCTGCCCAAGGTGGAGCCCTCCAAGTCTGAGATTTCTCTGGGCTCCAGTGAGTCATCCACGCTTGAAGAAACCTCTGTGTCTGAGGCTTTCCCTGGGCCCGAGGAGCCCTCCAATGTGGAGGTCTGCACGCCCATTGTGCAGTCTGGGAGCAGGTACTCCCTGGATGAGTGCCTCGGGCAGGAGTCCGCTGGGCATCTGCTGGGGGAGCAGAACTACCTCCAGGAAGAGGAGCTGCAGGAGGAGCCCCTGCAGGGGTTACTAGGCCTGTGGGACCCATTTGCCGAGGTGGAAGCCAAGCTGGCCAGACTCTCCTCCACCGCAGCCAGGACAGACGCACCCCAGGCAGATATCCCCAAGGTCCCCGTGCAGGTAGCTGATGTCATGCGTGGATGTGAACACGGAGCAGCCAGAGCTTGCCAGGGGTCCGGAGCGCGCTGTCCACACACTGTCCACACACATGGCCTCTGCTGCTCTGCACAGTGGCTGTGGTTCCACTGTGTCCGTTGTGGCTCTGGCACTGGTGGCTGGTTCAGGGCACTGGGGTCCAGGGGTCTGGGGAGGAGAAGCTCTGTCTCGTGCTCTGTAATTCAATAAGGAAGTTGGGGTCGAGATGCAAGGTGATGCCAGGTGGGCACCTGTTCTGCCCGATGGAGGGACAGCTGTACAGGACATTTGCCCAGTTGCCATGGTTACTCTGAGCTTCTGGGCCTGCAGGAGCCTTGGGCAACCCTCACTGGCTCGTGAGCTCCATAGTGACTGGGTGGGGAGGTCTGTGGGGATCCAGCCACCTTTCAGTGACCATGAGGCCCCAGGGACACTGCCCTTCCTCCACCCTGCCCCTCTGACCAACATCTTCTCCCTTTTCAACAGTCCTCTTGTTTTTAAAAAATGTTCCTCTTGGCCAGGCATGGTGGCTCATGCCTGTAATCCCAGCAATTTGGGAGGCTGAGGTAGGTGGATTACCTGAGGTCAGGAGTTCAAGACTGGCCTGGCCAAGATGGTGAAACCCTGTCTCTACTAAAAATACAAAAATTGGCCAGGTGTGGTGGCTGGCGCCTGTAGTCCTGGCTACTCAGGAGGCTGAGGCCCGAGAATCACTTGAACCTGGGAGGCAGAGGTTGCAGTGAGCCAAGATCATGCCACTGCACTCCAGCCTGGGCGACCGGAGCAAGACTCTGTCTCAAAGAAAAACAAGAGTCATCTTTTCTTCTCTCTGTCTTCTGCTTTCCTTTCCCGTGTGTGTGTGTGTGTGTGTGTGTGCGCGCGCGTGTGTGTGTGCGTGAGTCTGTGTGCGTGTGTTTGTGTGTGTGTGTGTCTGTGTCTGTGTGTGTCTCTGTGTGTGCGTGTGTGTGTCTGCGTGTCTGTGTGTGTGTCTGTGAGTGTGTGTGTGTGTGTGTCTGTGAGTGTGTGTGTGTGTTTGTGTGTGTCTGTGTTTGTGTGTCTGTGTGTGTGCGCGCATGTGTGTGTCTGTGCGTGTGTGTGTCTGTGCATGCACATGTGTGTGTGCATGCACATGTGTGCGTGTGTGTGTGCATGCACATGTGTGCGTGTGTGTGTGCATGCACATGTGCGTGTCTGTGTCTGTGTGTGTTTATTTAGAGACATCCCAGCTCTGCCACTTCCTTGGTTGTGTGATTTTTCTGTGCTTGGTTTTTTCATCTGTAAAATGGGGATGCTTCAGATGAGCAGATGCAGGCAAGGCTCCTGGCACACAGCAGGTGCCCCCCACACGCCTGTCTCCCCGTTTGCTGTCTTCACTGTTCTCCCCCTCATCTCTTTCCTACTTTGTGCCCCTTCTCTCAAGAGTGACAGGCAGGGGAGATTGAGGGGTGGTGGGCGGCCTTGGGGAGTTGAAGTGAGGCCTAGGGTGGGGGAATAGAGGATGATTCTGGCCCAAATCAGCCTTCTTCCACCCCCCACCCCTCTCTCCTCCCAGGACCCCGTGCTGACAGACCTGCTGGGGCCTGGGGATGCCAGGCCTGAAGCTGAGGCGGCTGATGACTTCCTGCCCAGGCCTGTGAGTACCTCCCGGGGCCAGGCCCTCAGTGTGGCGGGCGGGGTTCTCTTCACCTTCCTGGGAAGCTCCAGCTTGTCCCCTGCCTGCCGTGCCTCGGTTTTCTCATCCATGAGCTTAGAATAACAACCCCAGCCTTCCCCAGGCATGTGGCCCATGTCCCGTGGCCAGGCAGTGTCCAGTGGGAGGAACTGTCTTCTTATTGAGTGAAAAAGTCCTGTTGTTCTAGATGGTGACTTTCAAAGCTTCCTTAGCCTTGGTGGCCTTTGTGTAAAGGAATTGAGGCCCAGTGTGTACAGGGATGAGGGCTCCAGGTCAGGGCTAGTGGCCCCTAAGACACCATCAGGGAGCCCGGTTTGAACACCCCAGGGGAGCGAGAGGAGGCTTGCAATCTCCCCGCGTTTATAGAAAGACAATCTGGACTTGAGTGCGGGCTGTGCATGGGGCCTGGGGCAGACTCTCAGCAGGGCATGGCACGGATGGTGCCAGGCCAGGGCAGCCGGGGCTAGAAGTGACTCTGAGTGGGACCCAGGCATGAAGGAGCGGCAGGGGAAGCAGCAAGCAGAGGGGACAGCAAGTGCCAAGGTCCTATGGCCGGAAGGACCTTGACTTTCTCAGCAATGGAAATGGAGGCCAGCGTGGCAGGGGAGGCTGTGGAGGTGGGGAGCTGGTAGGAGGAAGCTGGCCTTTTCTGCAAACACGCAGGGAAGTCGTGCAGGGCTCTCACCAGGAATGGGATGCCATTGCTTTCTATTTTAAGATGGCACCGGCTGCCTGTCGAGACTGGATTGTGGGAGGTCCCAGCTTGGGGGCATCAGTGGGAATGGCGGCAGTAAGAAACTCAACAGGGGCCTGGGCGCAGTGGCTCACGCCTGTAATCCCAACACTTTGGGAGGCCAAGGCAGGCGGATCACAAGATCAGGATTTCAAGACCAGCCTGGCCAACATGGTGAAACCTTGTCTCTACTAAAAATACAAAAATTAGCCGGGCATGGTGGCAGGTCCTGTAATCCCAGCTACTCAGGAGGCTGAGGCAGGAGAATCGCTTGAGCCTGGGAGGCGGAAGTTGGAGGGAGCTGAGACCATACCATTGCACTCCAGCCTGGGTGACAGAGTGAGACCGTGCCTCAGAAACAACAACAACAAAAAGAACTTAATAGGGCGTGTTTTTGTGTCACTGATGTCCCCGAGCCAGAGGTGATGTGTCCCGGCTGCAGCCCGCGGAATGGCCGTGTTCTGAGACAGATTCGCCGGGGGGCCATCACGGGGGTGGCCTTCCCACCTCCACCTGGGTTTCTCTTCACACTCAGGAGGCGGATCTGGTCTCGGAAGTGGCCTTGGAGATGGTGCCGACAGCAGAGCCTGGCATGGGGTTAGAGGCTGAGGCTCCAATGGCCCCGGGGGCTCAGCCTCAGCCCCCGCCAGCCATGGCCAACGTGAGGAGGGAAAGCATGGGCGTGGAGGTGGCAGTGCTGCCCGTAGCGGACCAGCAGCAAGTGCTAGCCCGGTAAGCAGCAGAGCACGGGGCTGGCGGGAGCTGGTGGGGGTGGGAAGGGGCTGCCTTCCAGGATGGAGTGGGGGTGCCATAGCTCTTCCCAGCTCTCCCTTCTAATGGGGTGGGGCGGCCCTGATCCCCTCTCCAGGTGCAGTGGGGACTGGGTGGGCAGGGCTCTGCTCCGGAAGCTCCACAGGCTGCCACCAGCATCCCTTGTCAGACCTACTGGGGAGCAGCCACTCTAGGGAGAAAGTGAGGGCGTCTCACCCTCCCGGCCTTGTCAGGGCCCCACCTTCAGGTTTCAGGAGTCCCAGGTCAGGGGGTTGCAGGCTTTTCTCCTGTCCCAGCTGAGCCCCCGGCCCCCTGGCCTCCAGGGCCCTCCCTGATGTGAGACCCACTCACGCACAGGACAAGCCATCCGCAGGCCCTCTCTGGGACCATGTGCGGAGCTGGGCTTTCCTCACTTGCTGTGTGGCTTTGTCAGGTTACTTAACTTTTCTGAGCCTTGGTTATCACTTCTGTTAATGATGATGTCAGCCTGACCTCCATGCCACGGTCATCCAGGGGTTCAGCAGGGGGAGACCCAGTCCAGAGACCACAGTTCAAACACTTAACTGAGCAACTCCTGAGCGTGGGGCACAGGACCCAAGGATGAGTGAGCTGCTGCCTCACCCCCAAGGGCCCCCAGGCCACGGCAGAAGACACGTCTGGCCAGGAGAGCCCTGCTCTCCAGCACTTGCCAGCCTGCCTCCTCCACTAGCTCTGCCACCTCGGGCCGACTTGAAACCTCTCTGCCTTCGCTGCCCATCTTCAGAATGGGCAATACCAGTCCCAGAGTGAGAAGCTTGTGGTGAGGGTGAAAATGAGGCAATACTTGTAGTGTGGCAGCCCCGTGCCGGGCACATAGCACACACTTGGCACGTGTCCTGGCTGTTTTTAGTGTGGTGTGGAGGGAAGGCTGGGAGCCTTCACAGAAGAGGAAACAGGAATAAGGTTTGCTGCAGGGGCGGCATCCTAGAGACAGCGCAGCGCCTGCAAAGGGGTGGAGGTGGGACCTGGCGGGGGCTTTTAGAGATGTGCGAGCAGTGAGTGAAGCTGGACTGAGCGGGTGGGGGTGCAGGGGAGATGGAGGGAGGACTCTGTGTGCCCTCCTCGAGTGCTTGGGCTTCATCCTGATGGAGGCCCACAGCAGGATTTTTTTTTTTTTTTTTTTAGATGGAGTCTCGCTCTGTCACCTAGGCTGGAGTTCAGTGGCGCAATCTCAGCTCACTGCAACCTCTGCCTCCTGGGTTCAAGCGATTCTCCTGCCTCAGCCGCCCAAGTAGCTGGGATTACAGGTGTGCACCACCACACCCGGCTAATTTTTGTATTTTTAGTAGAGACGGGGTTGCACCATGTTGGTCAGGCTGGTCTCGAACTCTTGACCTCATGATCCACCCGCCTCGGCCTCCCAAAGTGCTGGGATTACAGGCATGAGCCACCGCACCCAGCCCCACAGCAGGATTTTAAACAGAGCGGTGCTGTAGACGTGACTTCTTTCTGTGCCAGCTGCCATGGAGCATGGAGCCAAGCCAGAAGCTGCCAGAGCCTGGCTGCTCGGGTTGCAAAGCTCCATTTTCTCCCAAGCATGATCCTCTCCTCCGTCTGTAAATCCTTAGTGAGCCTTTGGGTACCACCTACCCACTCCCTTTGGAAAGAGGTGAGGTTTGAAGCGTGTTTGTGGCGCTTCATTAGCCAATGAGGTGGGAGTTCCCATAAGTCTTTCTCTGTATTTAAAATTTATACCTTTTTTTTTTTGGCATTAGTACATTTTTATTGATTTTTATTTTTTTGGTAGAGATGGAATCTCTCTATGTTGCCCAGGTTGGTCTCAAGCAGTCTACCTGCCTCAGCCTCCCCAAGTGTTGGGATTGTAGGTGTGAGCCACCGCACCCAGCCTAAAATTTGTACCTTTTTTTTTTTTGAGATGAAGTCTCGCTCTTGTCCCCTAGGCCAGAGTGCAGTGACATGATCTCGGCTCACTGCAACCTCTGCCGCCTGAGTTCAAGCGATTCTCCTTCCTTAGCCTCCCGAATAGCTAGACTTACAGGCACCTGCCGCAGGTGCCCAGCTAATTTTTATATTTTTTAGTAGAGACGGGGTTTCACCATGTTGGCCAGGCTGGTCTCCAACTCTTTACTTCAGGTGATCTGCCCACCTCAGCCTCCCAAAGTGCTGGGATTACAGGAGCCAGCCACTGTGCTCGGCCAAATTTGTACCTTTAAAGGACAAAACTCTAACCATTTTTGAGCATTTTGGACATAAATAGTCTTAACCATGTATTGTACATGATCCTGCCTGATTAAATATTGTGCACTGAGTATATTGAGCATTTTTCACAGCCCAGGGTTCTTCTTATCATGCCAGTGACCTCAGACACAGGACAAGCCCACTCAGCTGTGGGGACCCGCAGCTTGGGAGGTTAGCAGGTGAGGGATGGGTTAGCTGAGCCCACAGGAAGATTCCCCCCCTGACCCACCACTGCAGTCGAGTGCACAGGCAGGGAGTTGGGCAGGAATCTAGTTGTGACCCTGAGCAACCAGCATCCTGTGGCCGAGCCTTGGTTTCCCTCCCCGTGAAGTGGGGTTGTTGGAAGGATTTGGTGGGCCCACGCATAGCCTGGAGCCTGCTGGGTGGCAGGTGCTCGGTGATGGGCAGAGATGGTCTCACTGGCTTTCTCCGCGGTGCCGGCAGTCTGCAGCTGCTGGAGCGGCAGGTGGTGGGTGGAGAGCAGGCCAAGAACAAGGACCTGAAGGAGAAGCACAAGCGGCGCAAGCGGTACGCAGATGAGCGCAGGAAGCAGCTGGTGGCCGCCCTGCAGAACGCGGATGAGGACAGCGGGGACTGGGTGCTGCTCAACGTCTACGACTCCATCCAGGAGGAAGTGCGGGCCAAGAGCAAGCTGCTGGAGAAGATGCAGAGGAAGGTGAGGCCCGGGTCAGCCCCCAGGCCGGGCTCCTAGAGGTGGGCGAGACCCTCATACCCAGGCATCACTACACCTGTGGGAAGCCAGGCAGCCCTCTACTTTTTACACAGCATGCAGGCATTTATTATTATTATTATTATTATTATTATTTATTATTTTTTTTTGAGGCAGAGTTTCCTTCTGTTGCTTAGGCTGGATTACAGTGCCTCGATCTTGGCTCACTGCAACCTCCGCCTCCCGGGTTCAAGTGATTCTCCTGCCCCAGCCTCCCAAGTAGCTGGGACTACAGGCGCACACCACCATGCCTGGCTAATTTTTGTATTTTTAGTAGAGACAAGGTTTCACCATGTTGGTCAGGCTGGTCTTGAATTCCTGACCTCATGATCCACCCTCTTTGGCCTCCCAGTGCGTTGAGATTTCAACCGTGAGCCACCACGCCCGGCCTGCATTTATTATTTACTTTTAGGGACAGGATCTCTGTCACCCAGGCTGGAGTGCAGTGTACAGTTAGCTCACTGCAGCCTCCACCTCCCAGACTCAAGCCATCTTCCTGCCTCAGCCTCCTGAGTAGCTGAGACTACAGGTGTGTGCCACCACGCCTGGCTAATGTTTTTAATTTTTTGCAGAGACAGGGTCTCACCATATTGCCCAGGCTGGAAAGCATTTATTAAGTGCCTACTGTGTGACACACCCTGTTCTGATGCTGGCAGGCAGAGCAGTCACAGCGATGGATTATGTCCCTGTCGTCATGGAGCTTGCCTCCCAGTGTGTGTGTTATGTGTGTGTGTGTAGACGTGTGTATGTTGTGTGTGTGTGTGTGTGTGTGTGCATGCATGTGTGTCTGTGTTGTGTGTGTAAGAAATAACACAGTGGAGAAGTAAGCAAGAGAATATCAAGGAGTGGCCACTACTCTGACGAGAACACCAGGGCAAGACAACGCTGTTTTTGTGTTTTCATTTTTTTTTTTTTTTT